TCACAGCTGTAAGCCTGATTAATAAAATATAATATCTTATTTCTTTCACAACTGATTAAGACTAATGTCTTTGGACCACATCATTATTTTAACATCTGTTGTAAGGTATTGTCATGTTGATATTATTTTAGGACTACTACTGTTGGTTATTATATGTGTCTATAATATTAGCGGTACATTATATCAACACATCGTAGAAAAAATGTTAGGCTCTCAAATTTTAAGAACAAAAGACGTTTTATACATCGGTTAAAAACCCAGATCCCAAAATCAGTTACTTAACAGAAAGACACCCCTGTTGTCATTTATGATAATGTTACTCAAATGTGCATCTTTAATTCTTTTATCCAATCTAGGCTAATTTTAGACCTTACAAAGCTGAAATCTAGGAAAGAAACATTAGATATTGGAGTTAATGAACAAAGTCAGAATGTAACAAGACAATATCAACAACATCAAGTTAAAGAACAACAAACATCATTTTTATTTATTACATTGAGAATAAAAAGATACCACAGGGGAAATAAAAAAAGAACAGAAACTGTTTGTGCTCTCAAAGAAAAATCGCTATAATAGACATAGTTACCCGATTTTATGTATGGTATTAGATTATTGCATGTATTCACAAAACTAAATTTTTCTTACACTTTGTTTTGAAATATCGGTGGAAAGTCTAGTCATGTTATTATGGTTTTAGGATGCGTTCGCGTTAAATGTATAATTTGCTTCCACCATCGTATGGAGAACAGTCTTACGTGTGAAAACAACACAATTCCATAGTGGTATTTATAATTATGTGTGTTTACTTATAATCAGATTGGAAAACATATAAAACAGCTCAGGTATGCCTTTTGTCAGATGAAATAAATTGTAAACTCTGAGCTGATTGTTTGCCAGGTGGTATACCTTTGAGTAAATCAATCATCTTCGGTTACAATTTCTGAACTTGTATAAAAAAAAAGACGCCGACAATTGCATATTGTATTTTACCTTTTTCAAATATTAGTTTTCGTAATAACTTCTTTTCATATACAGTATTTAATAATCCCTTTAGCTTGGTTCTTCTTTTCATAAAACCTTTTTGCTGAAAACTATTCTTCCGGTTGACAATGCTATGCATGTCTTTGTATTTGGCACTTTTTTTTACAAAGCAAGCTAACTGTAATGCCAGATAAATGAATATCGTCTGAAAAGAAGACATAAGATCATCATTCCAGTGCTGAATCTGCTTTGATTTCCATTTCCAATTACATTTGAGACGATAGGCCTAATTGGAGACTTGTTCCTAATGAGTAAACGCGGACGAGTTGTCTAGAGTGTTGGATTGTAATGAGTAAACGCGGACGAGTTGTCTAGAGTGTTGGATTGTAATGAGTAAACGCGGACGAGTTGTCTAGAGTGTTGGATTGTATGAATGCATTGTTTTGCCATTGATGTTGTGATCACTCGTGAAAGTTTCTGATTAGCTGGTATATAAACAATTTATACATGTATATGCCAAACAAGTCGTTTGCATTGAAATAAGTATCATGCCGGAGTAAGAATAATGACGTATAGAATATATGTTCGCAGTAATTGTTAATCAGGAATAAAGTATATTTCTTTCAGCTCACACTGTACATTTCCTTTATATTGTTTTATTGCCTTTTAAACAAACCGTACCGAAATTAAAAATTAAAAACTATGACATGGTGTAAAATGTTTAAATTACATTGATGATTGACATATTTAATATCATTATGGTTTAAGTAATGGAACAGAGTTTAACCGAAAGATCCGTTGTATTTAGAAAATTAATATCTGTCATATGAACATTGTAATAGTTATATATTTTTACTGAGTTATTTCCTGTAACATTTAATTATCCAAACCACATCTGTTTTAGCTCTTAATCATTTTATGATTTTGGCTTAACTAAATTATTGCTTGTACGTATCTGATTAATGTTATTGAGAAACACGTGATGCGTGCAATTATATTTTTATAATCGTTTTTTTTAATGAAATTGTTTTTAGTATGAATTCATGTATGATGGTAAAAAACGTTGACTAATAAATAACTAATGTTGTTGTTTAGCAACCTTCATACATATAATAACCCTATTATGTTTATCATGACAGTCAGTCGAGGAGTTACTATGATAATTATAAATCAAACAACTGGATACGAGGTAATGTTTTACGTATACTTTCACCATGCGAGAGAATGCAATACAAAATACGCTACTGTCCAATGTAAATGGTTGATTGAGCGCTCACAAACATATTCATATTGATGGCCTTGGGTTTAATTTTCTTTTGTCTCTTTAACACATTCCCCGTTTCCATATGCGATTCCATTATCACGTTGTAGGTATTTCCATGGGCACCATTTGCACCCCTTTAATAGCAAACTAGTTACAGTTTATGTCCAAAATCAGTAAAGATCCGTCTAAATTCCATTTAATTGATAAATTCAATAACATTAACCGTTACCTTGATGGTAATTTTGCTTAATATATTCACAAATTATTCTACAAAAAGTTACGAAAGAGAACGCACTTTAAATAAATCTAATATTAACAGCAATACTTGACCTTCTCTATATTTGGATATTTCAGTTACATACTGGAAAAATCAGAAAAAAACCCAAAACGATCCCTATTGTTATTTTTCTTTTTACGTTAAGTATATATAGATTCTACATCAAGTATAATGCGATATTTCTCCAACCGAGACAGTTTGATTTTCAAATTTGAAACGCAAGATTTGCCGAGTTTTTTAAATATTAAAAACGAAATTGTCGAGACTGGAGAAATTTCGTATTGCACGACATTCAGTAGTGGAATTTTTTTCTGTAATGATTTTTGGACGATATGATGACACGTTTTTTCACTGATTTGCCAAAAATGTGTTCTTTAAATTCAAAGCCGCCTTTTTGATGACGTCACAATAGGAAATTCAGAGGAAAGCGAGACAATTTGTAGTCATGATTCAATTTTGACCTATGAAGAACTGAGATCAAACGAGCCACACATTGCTTAGTAAAAGATATCAACCGGTCATGAAAAGTATTAAACCGGTAAAGAATTAGATAAATTGCATATAAGTGACGTTTTATAATTAGATTTCAATGAACGTAATTTATGTATAACTGGTAAATTATTAAGTCAAGGATTTCGTTACAATAAAATACTTAAAACTTTTACTAAGTTTTTTCATAGATATAAAGATTTGGTTTTGAAGTCTAGCTCTTTCTGAATAATTCCTGTGAAAAACGGCTGGTCACTTCCTAATTTTAACGGATATATTGTTTATAAAGCCCGTAACTTAAAATACGATCCATGTAACAAATAATGTTTTTCTTAAAGGATATAATTTTAATACCGCAGTAAGATCTTTGAATATGGTTTTTATCGGTACTAACATTGTTTTTGTTTTTGATAAATTGAAACATAACTAAATATATATTGTTGAACGCTAATGAAAACGTATAGTCCTACATACTGTCGATATTATGTACGTATAGTTTGGCATTGTTCAAGTTCATGCTTTTCTCAGACTGTTTATGAAGTCCTTTCACACGTTATATGTACTGATTGAAACTAGTTTTTAGTAATTGCGACTACTGTTAGATCAGTGTTTATGTCTTTTGTCTTTATGTTAGTTGTTTTTGTGTTTCGTGCTTATCTGACGAGTCAAACCATTTCATACTGATTTTTAAAGTGTGCTTTTATGTCTTGCTGTTATACAACTGTCCAAGATTATGAGAGGGTTGAGCGCTCCCAACCCTTTTTAACCCCGCTACTTTCTATATTTGCCTGTCCAAAATCAGGATCCTGTAAATCAGTGGTTGTTGCTGGTTGATGTCTATCATATTTTATTTTTCGTTAATTTTGATGTCATAAAACAGTCCGTCTGTTTTTCTGTTTGATTTTTTTTCACATTTTGCCTTAATAGCCGACACTACGATATGTGTTTTGCTCATTGTTGAGTACCGAACTTTGACCCGTAGTTGTTTCTCCTCATTCGGACTTGGAAATTTTCTTATTAGCAATCATACAAAAACCTTTATTTTATATTAAGGTAACTCGGATGTATTCCGCCATCTTGGAATGTGAAATACCAGAAAGCAATCTGTTTATTTTTTAAATTAAATATGGAAATTAAAAAAAGAATGCAGCTAATTTGTAAGCCTTTTCATCTGAATGAAGACAATTATGTTTTTCATTTCTAACATTACGACTGTTTTTCATTTTTATAAAAAACATATTGTTTTTCAATAGATTCATTGTTTTCCAAATTCAGCAATATAATGGAAGATAACTGCCAATCTCTTATTTTTTATGAATGAACGTTTAATTAATTGACCTATTTTGTTTTGTTACAAAAAAGACTCCAATTTTATAAGTCACATTTTAAGCGCTATTTTCTTATAATCTATCTTAACATTTTATTGTTCACTTTCATATCTATTCGCACATCATTGGTTTATCCATGCATCTATACAAAATTTACAATTTTGCACAGCCTGTAACTTATAAAAAAGCACATTGACCCATACTTTTATCCTATTTTTGATAATTATAGCATAATATATATAAACTACATTTTGGCAAATTATAAAACAAATCTATCGTTTTAAATTAAGACTGTAATCTACCTTAAGCACACCACATGTTCTTCTTGCCTGTCCGCAGTTCTTTAATAGCCTGTTTGTCCTTGGTTGCTGTCTATCATATTTGTTTTTCGTTAATTGTTTTGTCATATATCAAGCCGTTGATTTTTTTAATTGTCGGTGCCTTTTATAGCTCACTATACTACTTGGGTTTTGTTCATTGTTGAAAGTTGTACGGTGACGTTTATTTCCTGAAATCAATCTCATTTTGGACTCTGGTGCATAGTTGTCTCATTAGCACATCCCTTTATTTTATATCAACTGAAAACTTACCAGTACTTTTATAAACTAGAAAGATTATTAATAGATCTTCAATCTCAACACAATATTCCGAACTTGGACAATACCATCGATGAGATTTTTATTGAACTACACGACATTTCATTGAGTGTCATTATATAGTTAAATAAAACAGAATAAATCACCAAAAGCAGATCAGAGTAATTGCTTATTGATGTTGACCTTTAGGTAGCTGTCAGTATATAAAGAACATACACGAATTGTCAAAAAACAAGTAGCTTGAAATAAAAAGAAAGTCGTTCAAACGTAATAGATTTTACATATGGGTAAAGAGATCAGGCCTATACGCTATGTCATGCTCTAAGTCGTGCTGAATCAACAAATGAGCTCGTTTTTGTATGTTATTTTATCTTCGAAATGAAAGGATTGTCTTTTGTTTGGATTTTTTTATATTTATAAAAACGAGATAATGATATGAGAATACAGAATATACATGTACTTAAAATAAATTCCAATCAACTACAATAATTACAATAATTACAATAAAAAAGCCATTGGACTATTTTCGAAAAGTGTGGATCCTAGCTGAGATCTTACTTCTGAATTCATTGCCGTTATCGGCATACCCATTGACAACGCACCTGCACCACCCATTTCAGTCATCCTATCCTGCATTATTTCTTGGGCGTCACTGGCTCCTTCCTTCATGGCAATACTTCTAAACATCATATTGTATGGCGATGTTTTAGAGGACGCTTCTCCAGCTGTTGATGGGTTTCGCCTTAAAGTTGACATTTGGATACCATTGAATTGACTATTAGAGTTTTGCACGTACATTCCATTGTTATTAACACTTTGTCCGTTGTTATTAACACTTTGTCCGTTGTAAGTAGCACTTTGTCTATTGTTATCAACACTTTGTCCGTTTATAGAAACACCATTCCCACTGTTTGAACTTTGAGCTTGTAATGCTGATAGTCTCTTCAATAACTTTTGAAGAATTACTCGTTTTTGTTCATCTACACTAGAACGAGTTTGCAAACTTCTTGCCTGATGTTTATTTCCACTTTTTAAATTAGATTGTGTAGACACTGGTTGTGATAATTGAACAGGAGGTTTTGGTTCTTCTGTCGGCAATGTTAAAGTCCTCACATGGGTTTTTTTTGCTGTCTTTGTTATAGGGGTCGGATTTGATGCCGATACAAACGAATTTCTGACAGTTCTTGGGTTGACACTTTGTAGTGCATTTCTTTCTCTTAAGAATGCGGTTATCGTTGCCAAATCCTGTTCAAGTAATGGAGTATTCAGCTGTGGTTTTGACTGACGAGATTTTATTTTTGGATCCAACAATTGAGATTTAATATTAGACTTTTCAGAATATACATCAAGCTTAGGAATGGCATTCGGTATTGTTTGACTTAATCCCCGTAACTGTGGTGTTGACTTTTCTACTGGAGTGTCCACTTGCCTACTAGGAAACAAACCCAACAGAGGTTTTTGCGATAATAAACTTAACAAATCGAAACTCGGGGAAGCTATTCCATTTTGACCAGGTTTGTAACTGAACTCTGTAAGAAGGGAAATGCAATTTTCGGCTCCATAAATTTTATATGAATCCAACTTCCTTTTATATTTCTATTTTCGTCGGTTTATCAAAGGATTTATTTATATAATTTCGAAGTGAAATTTACAGCTATTGTAAAAAAAATTATCATGTTTGCTATTTAAATGTTTATTTAAATAATTTCAAATTTACAAGAATGTACATTTATTTTAGTAAAACGTTTATATTGCATAAAATTATTAAATGGAAGAACCATAGGTTCATAGTTTACTTCGGTGGTGGAGAAGGAGGTAATTCATTCGCTGTCCATACTTGATAAACAGGTGTAGTGCCAGTTTCATTAATGTAAGGTTTCATATTTGTGTTTGTTAATGAATTATAATCAATATCAGTTTCCGGTAATTGAGAAATTGGAGGCGGATCTGATATTGTAAATGTTTTTGGAAGCAAGCCAGCATCCATCTGCTGTTTTTGTAACCGTAGAGCATGCACAATATAAAACTTGTTTGCTTTTGTCTTATTGTGCGTTTCTATTTGTGTATTGTTGTGAATTTCCATTATAGTGTTATTGTTCATATATGCAGTATCCTCCCTGGTTGAGTTTTGTTCCTGTTTTATAGGTGACGTTTTGATTAAAGGTTTAGATATTAATACGTCATTGTTTGGTTTTGATGCACTTGTTGTGGCTGGTGAAGATGTATCTAAATTGTTTATTTTACCTGCTGTTTTGGACTTTCTGCGTTTGCTTTTGGGTCTTTTATAATCAGTTCCATGTATTAATGGTAGAGATGCCCCTGAAGAAAATGAAGAAATCGTAATAACATTTTGAACTGTTTGTTGATTTTTATAGCTTTTTGTACTACTCTGTGGAGTCTCTGGGTCACGAATTGTTATGTGTTTTTGTTTTAATGAAATTGTTTCATTTCCCTGTTTGAACGATATATTTATTTGATTTTTACCCTTCGAAGTGCCATTTTCAGATGTGGATATAATTTCCGGTTGTTCTTTTTTTTCTTCAAGCACTACCGGGGACTTAGATACATTTACTGGTTTAGACTTAACCGTCACTGTATCTTGTTTGTGCACTACCGGGGACTTAGTTACATATACTGGTTTAGAATTAACCGTCAGTTTATCTTGTTTGTCTATTGTTTCGTGTAATTCTTTTCTTTTGGACTTGTTCTGTAACTTATCTTTCATTTTCATTCTTCTTTCCTCTTTTAATTTTTGTATCAGCATTTTTCTTTTTTCGAGCAATATTTTAAGAAGGGAAAAGGGAATGTTACCTGTTTTCTTAGCTTGCTTTAATTTCTTTTTTATCAATTTAAGTAATTTTGTGGCTGACATTTCGGCCTCTGGTTTTGGTGTTTTGTCGTCAGAAGGAGACTTACGTATTGGTGTTGTAGGTGCAGGTGTTGTAGGTGCAGGTGTTGTGTGTATTTTCATATCAGATTTTGGTAGATTACTCTTAGACAGATTGATAGGCTGTATGACTGGAGTGGTAAATTTTTGAAGAGATGATAAGTGATTTACTTGAAATGAGCTTTTGATATTCGTGCTGGATTGGACACTGTTCATGTTTTCTGCTTTTGAATCCAAATGATTATAAACAGCAGGTTTAATTATTGTGCCATCTGCTGTTCCCCTGTATATCCAGTGTGATGGTATGAACACTTGTTCTTTCATCCTCTGTTTTGTTGGTAGTTTAACGACGTGTTGGATTTGCTGTTGTTTTACAAGAGATTGTGCTTGAGAAAGTTTCTGTGTCTTTCTTGGTGTTATTGGTTGTGATATCGACCTTAGATGTTTATCAGGGTTATTTGATATTTGAGATTGCACATTTTGCCTCAATGGGTTTCTTGTCCGGTGAATATTTTTTGTGTTCGTTTTAGCTCGTGATGATGGGGGGTATGTGTGTGGTGACATTGGCGGAGAAGCAATCGGATTACCTAGTGCAGAAGGTCTGGTTGTAGTTGATTTTGTTGTAGGAAAAGCTTTTAAAATTGAACTTGCTATTGATTGGAAATTATCTAAAGCACTTTGCTTTTGTATTGTTGGCTTTTGGGTGCTATGTGGTTGCGAAACAGGCGTTATGATATTTGATTTCAATGTAGGTGTTGTCATAAGATTCTGAAAAGATTCAATTAAATCTTTAATTTCTTGAAAATTAACCTTAGACTGGGTTGTAGGTGTGGGTGTCATGATCATTGATAGAGGAGGGTTTTGAGAATGCCTTCCTTCGTTTTGTAACTTATTTTGTGTATGCATATCCCTAAATGCTCCAACCATATGTTCATTGTGTGTTCCTTCACTGAACTTTCTCTCGTTATTATGTCTGCTCGGCAATTGTGAAAATGCGTTCTGCGTTTGAAAAATGTTTGATCCAGGAAGACCATTTTCCAATAACAATAGGCGATCTAACTCATTTAAGACATCATTTGGGATATCTTCTGGTCTTACATTCTGAAAAAGCTCCAAAATTTGCTGAGTATTGACAGATGACGGGGAAAATATATCAGTTTGCTGTTGCCCTTGATTGTTCAATCCTGTGGTCTTTTCAAATGAAGATGGGACAGATTGTGCATTCAGAGGAAACATATTTTGTGATGTAAGATATAAAAGTTCTTTTTGAAGGACATCCAGAGGCATGTTTGCAAGCTCCGGGTATGCCGTTGTTAATCCGTCAATGAATGCCAGCCCTTTAAAAAAGTATTTCAAGTAAATAAGACAACGTTCATATCGAATTTCTGAACAATAATTAAAACAACAAAGAAAATATGCCGACAAAATTACTATTTAGAGTCATACGTTAACATCGTCCTTCACCAAATCGGTATCACAATTTTTGGTGGTTTTGAATTTTTGATAAGGCCTGTTTCATTAACCTATACAGAAATAACATTCTGAAAATAATTGCTCATCCATAGAAGCTACTTCAACATTTCTGACCAGTAGTTTAAAACAAACCAAAATAACACTTTATAAGTTTTGTGTTCGCAGCGGTTTTCTGGATTTACCTTTACCAAGAACGCCCACACATAAATATTTGAAAGCCAAGGTTGTTTAAATATCTAAAAATGTTAGGAACTATATGACCAAAGAGGACATACAAAGAATTGCCAAATTCATCAAAGGTCAACTTTCCCTGGGGGAGTTGGAATTTTAGTTTCCTAATATTTTTTTTAATTTCTCAACCGAGAGTTTAACATAAGTTGGTTATAAATCATGTTAATACAGAAGCACTAACTACTGATCTGATCAGCATATCATTAGTACGATTTCTGAAAACAATTATTTGGTGCCATTTATTGTTAGATAGTAATCTTTAGGTATTTCTTTGCCTCAAATTTGATTGTTTTCATTTAGGTCTCCAAAAGACACAAAAATATACATGTATGCTGCCTACATAATCTACAGAGCATGCCGCCTTTAATGGGTTGATGTTTCTAAGTGTTAAGATTATTGTGAAGAGTTTTTGGATTGTTTGTTTTTCGCACTTATAATTTTTTACAACTTTCAGTTTTAACTGACCATAAAAACAATCTCAGTATAAAAACATATGTTTAAGTGAAAGTTTTTGGACTGACATGGTAATCAGTTCATGTAATGACTCGCCAGTATTTTTACCTCAAACATTTTGTTTGTTGTTTAATGTTTGGTTCTTATAACGAAATGTTAAATTTCCGTCCCCATTAGGACACAGTTTGTGCAAAGGAGTTAAACATGGTCTGTGAACTGACTCTATAAAAATAAAGGCAACTGGGTTATTTCATCGTGCAATAAAATCAAATTTAAAGATATCTGGAAATTTTTTTTTCTATATATTTACATGGATGTGAAAGAATGTTTGCACAAAACAAACATGTATTCTAACAACATTAGCGGTAACAATTGTATTGCACCAGATGCACATTTCGACAATTAATGTCTCTTCAGATATGCCCTAGGACATAGTGTTTGAATGCCTAATACCTTATTCAAACGTTGAAGAGATGATAAAACCCAAAATGAACCAAAAGGAAATCCAAACCCGGAAAAGCAATCAGAACTAAGCATCTTTGAGAAATAATGTATTTGTATATGAATGTAATCTGGAGATATATTTTACCTTAAATATCTATAAAATTAAACATTTGTAAAAAAAAAATAATAAGATAAACAATTTCTATTCCGATCTGCTAAAACCAAAAAACATGTAAGGATTAACCTATGAAATCTTAAGAATTTTTTCATTATCAATCACGAATGTCTTAAAGATGTCAGTTTAGCTCTTTAACTGGTTTAGTAGAATAACATTCGCTTACATTTTAGAAAACACCGGATCAGTTGATTTATATATATCAAATGAAAAACCTACCTGTTGACCATGGTATAGAAGATAGCAGAGAACATTCACAAGATGCTGGATCAAATTCAGTCCCTGGAGCGCAATGTCGTTCATGTGCAATATTATGTACCATTTCTATATACCTCTTAGCATCCCCTGGTACAACTGTTCTGCTGTATGGACATCCTAGTCAAAACAAATGTATATGTAATAAATCTATATGTTATGTGATCTTATTTAACCTAAGTTTTAGTGTTCTGTATAACGTTTTGTAGGCTGTTGTTTGTCTCTTCGTCTTTATGTTTGGTTATATTATGAAGATAATTATCGGTAAGAGGGTACAGTTTTCGTCCATTGCAATATTTTTCTTCTGTATGTTGTTTAAGCTAAAGCTATCAGTTTTGCTAACCTTATATGTACGCAAAATACAAGCCATTCAGAGATACAATTCAAAGGGAATGACCATAACAAAGTTTTCCCAATTATATTTTAGCGCTGCATGTGTAATGAAAAGGACATGCTGGTGTTTATTTGCTATTATTTTATATTTGTACTTAGGCTAACGGTGGTCAAAATGGCATGATCATCACATTAAATTTGAAGTGTTTGCTAAGATTGTTTACACGACATAGTGATATTGTGGTGAAAAAATTAAACAACATTAAAAAATGGAAACATGTATTACTGATTATATATGTAAACAGCCGCCAGAAGGTTTCATTATGTTTCAGACAGAAATCCATACCCCTTCAGAAATGCTGTTCGAGGAAACCTCATACTTCCTAAACCAAAAATTGAATTGTTCAAGAAATCTTTAATGTATTCTGGACATCATTGTGGAACAATTTGCCTATATCGTTGCTAAATATAACAAATGTTAAGTCCTTCAAATACAAAATAACAGATCATTTATTGAAATCACTCTTAAAGCAAAATGTTTGATATTAATTATTTTATCATGTTTACTTTTTTCATTACATTTTATGCAGTTGTATTGAACATTATCAGTATACTTGACTCTTATACTAATGTATTCCATGTATATGTTTGCATTTTTGTTTTTCAACGATTCTTTGTTTATTCTTTGCTATGATGAGGGCCCCAGGGACGATAAGTTATATAACATTTCGGGGCATTTTATAGCTGACTATGCGGTAATGGTTTTGCTCATTGATGAAGGCCGTACGGCGACCTATAGTTTTTAACTTCTATGTCATTTGATCTCTGGTGGAGAGATTTCTTATTGCCAATCATACCATATCTTCTTATTTCATATGCAACCCTCTTAAAATAAAATAGTTTTGTTGTTGTTAGTTTTATTGGCGGGCAACGTTTTTGGCAATTCAATGTTTAATGGCAAATTTAGGTCAATGTGACAATAAGAAGATGTGGTATGATTGCCAATGAAATAAGTTTCCACCACAGACCAAATAACATAATAATTAGCAACTATAGATCAATATGGATTGTATTACTTCAAAGATGTGTAATCGGGACCAACTTCCACATTGGACAAATATTATGATATAATTAACGACAACGACTGACGAGGTTTCATATTGTTTACAAGCACCTGAACATGTCACGGGGTTAAATTTAGAATTAGGAGTAGAAATAACTGTCAGTTGTACAAGTGAATGGATTGGCCGGCCGTAAAACCTGGTTCAATCCATAATTTTTATTCAAATTTGCATTTAACTAGTGAGAAATATGACACTTCATAGTTCTTAGACACAACTTTTCTCCCTTTTTATAATATACCTTTGACTTAATATTTTTTTCTTTCCATGCCTAATATTCATATAGAAAACATTTTGCAACCTTTTAAAAGAAACTTTCAAATCAACACATTATTGTTGTAGCCAAATTTATAATACATTTTATATTTTAAATCTATGCCACTTTTCAAAATCTGATCAACTCATGTTAGGGCCAGTTGAAAAATAAGTTCAACTTTTCATTTGTTATATTTTTAAAGTATTGAAGGGAAGTCGTGCAAATTTTCACAAAAATTGAGTTTTGATTTGAAAATATCTTGTCTTTGACATAAAAACTAAAAAGTGTTAAAAAGCTTCAAGTATTCTATAACGGGAAAACGTAAGGAGCAAAACTGATCGGCCGAAAAGTACCCCCTTTTGTGATTGAACATTAACGTATTTAAAGAGATCTCATAAAGAAAATATCCTTGCCGTTTAATCATATATGTTCTATACCGCTACTTATTTCAATTGTTGTATGACTTTTCTATTTTTCATCACTACCTTTTATTCCTTCGTAAACGATAAGAATGACAATACTGAAACATAACATCACTTAACTAAATGATGAAAACACTTGAGTTTTAAATAAATTAAATTGTGTGCAATAGTAGCTGGTTTTTTTAGGATATTTACAGCAATTGAACATTACAAATAATAATGTGATGTAATAGGCAATAGATGAATATTTTAACTTGTGCAGAACAAAAATAGATAACTTTACAATTGACGTTCTGAAACATTATTCTGTGTCGTATTATGACTGTTGTCTACGAAACATAATAGCTATTATAAATATACAAATTAAATCTTCTCGTAGTGACAAGGCTGAACTTATCTTCTGGACTTCATTTTAATAAATTCTAATGATTACATTTGCATTTGTTTGTCATTAAGAATCATTGAACTAAGTCATGACCTATTGCACCAAATCATAACAAAATAATTGCACTACGTTGTCTTCAGTATATCTACGTTCCTGTATGTACATGTGATACTTAGAGTACACAAACAAAGGCTCATGTATTCATTCAGGACTCCCAAACGTTTGGTTGGTCTCAAACGCAATTGAAAATTTCATTCCTGAAACTTGTGTGTCGTATGCATTGAAATCAATACGTTATCCCGTTATGCCTTTGATTCTTAAACCCGTATCCTTTCTGACAACGCGTTTATTGTTCTTAAATCTTACCTTGTCCTATAGTTAAAGGTAGCCATACGCTGGACCATGCTATTAAGAACTTGAAGTTCATCACAATCTATAATAAAGTGATCAGGTTTAAAATAGAACAAGTATAATGATTTTGGCGGTTTCATTGCAATTTCATGGAATATTTTAAATACTATTGTATTGTACAAATGCATCCCTTTAACGAATACATTAAAGGTTTAAGTGTGTCTTCAGGGGAGGGTTTTCATAACGATACTCGTATTTCATCATTCCATTCTACAGAGAAGGACAAAATCATGTATCATGGCTTGGATTTCAATCGTTAGCTTTAATATAATCTTTATTACTTCCTAAAGTTTTAAGCTGTTTCATATGAATATTCACAACACAATAAATAATGTCAAAATATTTTCTGTGGCAAAAACTTACAATTGACCAACGAACCATGACAATGAAGTCAATGTCAGATGAAAACCTACCGAACGGACATGTACATGTACACCTTACCTTACAAACATTCCATACACCAAATATAGTACAACTATTGCTCATAGTATATGCGATACTGACATGACCACGAAACTTTAACATTGAACCTTTATCCAAGAAATGAGGTAAAGGTCAGTTGAACCCTTTCTGGCAGATATGCAGACCTTGCAAGGATCCCATATACTAAATACAGCTATCTTATTACTTATCATGAATGAGAAAATCACATGAGAGACGGATTTATATAAAAAGGGAGACGAAGTTATGGAAGAGCACTGCTCTTATTTCCTTATTTCAATTATTGAATTACTTGTATATTTCGTATTTATTTACTCTTGTAGCTATACATAACGAATTATTTAATAAAATATGTTTACACTGAATCACATGACGAAAAAAATATACAGAGGTTTAAGAAAATAATGTTAAAGACAACGGACATGAGACAGACGGAAACTTTTTACCATAAGGCATCATCATACAAACTTCTGTCGCAGGCGAGACAAAAGAAAACGAATTAAATGAATTTACTTATATCACTGACAAATCATAAAAATAGTTATTGAAAGCAAAAAAGTACCAAAAAGAGGGCAAGAAGAAAACACAAACATAAGAAACAATGACTGCGTACGGTTATTGCTTATGTTTTAAAGGACCATGTTAGCAACAAGACCATTGTCACATTTTAATTTTAATTTTTAATGAAGATAATTTAAAGATAGCACTTCACCGCAGAAAAGTTGGTATGTTGATTATCATTAAAAAAATATACATATAAATTAGTCGGAAAGCAAGTCCTAAGAGACCTCAGTTGTTTCCACTACCTTATGTAAAACAATAATGTATCAGATAGATAATCCCGCCATTCCGAATTGTCTCAGTTCATGCAAACAAGGTAGAAAAATGGCATTCCCATGACCCCCATGCTTGCTTCTTAAAATGGTCAGCTTTCAGATGACAGCGAATATGTTCCAATTGTCGTAACTACAATCCCGTCACCTTTTCCCCGAATGTGACCAACCGAATTAGACTTATTACCGGTATTAACATGAGTAACACGACGGGTGCAACATGTGGAGCAGGATCTGCTTACCCTTCCGGAGAACCTGAAATCACCCCCAGTTTTTGGTGGGGTTCGTGTTGCTCAGTCTTTAGTTTTCTATGTTGTGTTTTGTGTACTGTTGTCTGTCTGTCTGTCTGTCTGTTGGTCTTTTTCTTTTTTAGCCATGGCGTTGTCAGTTTGTTTTTTGAATTATGAGTTTAAATGTCCCTTTGGTATCTTTTGCCTCTCTTTTAGTACAGATAAAACATACTTATGCTGAAATAAGATGACATAATATCGTAATGACTAATATTTCGACACAATAAATGGACTTCGTCAGTATCAATATTTTTTTTTCCAAATGCAATTATGAATATTCTTAGTGTATAATAGTGATTATTTACACAGATAACATCGACCTTTAATCCGTATTCCGAGACGTATCCGAAAAAGAACATTCAAACCGAAAGCAATAAGTTCGTACTTATACATCCCAAACAACTGTCAAAATGCAATAGTTTCTGCAACAATTTACATTTACTGACAATATTTTATTGATGGACACATCATCAAAACCGCCATTTTTTTCTATTTGTAACATTTGGATGAAGAATATTAAATTCCTTTATCCAGAATCTTTCCAGATTACGATATACATATGTATGTTTATAACATTTACAAAACTGTTGAAGCGTTCGGTAAACCTCACCCACCCCCAGTTTTTAAGCCTCATACAATATAAGTTTTCTGATATTGACCAAAAATTGTTTTTATGACTGCAGCTAAAAATTGCTACAATTATGTTATTGAAAATGTTAACACAAAAATGAAACTGATTTTCCAGCTCTAAACGAACCCCAGCTTGTGAAGAAAATCATGACATGAAATCGACATTTCACGAAATATCCTTTTGTATTTGGTAGATAAAGGTAATAGGAAGTGCTGCAGCAGCTGCAGTATAAAAGAAAATAGTCTATTTTTAAGTCGTATGAAATTTCAAATTCAAAACAAAAAGTTGAATATGTTTTATATACCTGAGTTGCTAAGTTTTATTATAAAACAAGTGTACGTAAACTTTCTTGTGACAGAAAATCCTTTACATCTATATTATCAAAATCTTCATAAATGTACTGTTATTGAATTATTGTCTTCCCGTACACTAATTCTTAGATATTTTTCCGTATGCAATGACCTTAACTACTAGACCTCTTGTTCGAACTTTGGCTACCGCGTAGCAAGTGCGAGGGGAAACCGTGATGAAATAATTTAAGCAAACGTGCACTGGAAGGAAAATAGTAATAACTGAATCATAAAGAACAAATTTAATACAACAAAACATTTAACATCTTTTAAGGAAAGTTTAATTAATAAATGGATACGCATTGAAAATTAGAAAAATATATATCATGACTGTATCAATACACTATTTGTCACGTGCTCCCCTTGCTCTGCTACTAGGTTTTTTTTAACAACCTTGACGACCCATGAGGGTCTCGCACGGTCGGAACTCTGTAATGATTGTTTTTCTATGTCATAATCCGGTATACTTCGGCAACAAACTCGAAAGTTAATTTGCTTGCGATCAACAATCACTGAATGAAGTATTAATTATCTATAATACGTTATTGATTCGTAATAAGTATTAAAAAAAAACGTGCATACAGGACTTAGATTAGTATATATGCGTGCACTGATTCAATTATTTCGGTTACATTAAAACTACAAGAAACTCGTTACATATGACATTAAGTGACATGTGTAAATCAACATAAATGTATGTGCAAAGTATAATCCGACACAAACCAATGGACCAATAAGTCACGTTTTACTTTCAATTCATTTAAATGTTTTCATATCACGTGTTAATGTCAATTTAAAATATTCAAGAGATTGGTTTGTATAAATTAACTGATTTCCATGTGCACATCACATGTTTCTGTTTTTTCAAATAGACTCTATCTGGTACACTCGAGGTGAAAGAACAGGTAAACTCGAGGTAGAGGGGTTTAAAAGCCTGAAATATAAAATGCTTTGGGGGGACAAAATCCTCTAAACAGATCGTCAATTTTTATTGAATGTGTCATTTTGGCTGAATATAACCATGACTGGGCTGTTTATGAAATGGTGATTCACAGAGATGTCACTTTAGTGGTTATACTCTCTTGAGAAACAAACTAATTAAGAGGATGAACACACTATCCACAGAAAATGCATATGAGTAATATTACTATTTGGAGATTTGTTATAGACTTTTCACATTTGGTGTCTGTGGATAGATGTTATCCGTATATGAAGCAGATCTTACATGTATCTTTAAAAGAATGTCCTTAAATTTTCTTGCACATTGGAATATATGAGAAGCAGATTATTTTTTAATTTCATTAACATTTTTTTTTCTTAAACACCATACAAATAACATATAGCAGAAACTAAAATTAAGAGACGTATGTAACCTCTTTTATGAAAAAGGACGTATTGATTATATGTCAATGACCCAGCAACCAAACAACAAATATCGACAAAAGACATTTATAACGTAGCATACTGACTTTTACAATAGACAGGTGTCTACAATATGTCAAGCTCTTAATTGCACCATATAAAGGTTGAAGATTCATTAAATGGAAAGTTTCGAAGTTCTGCCATCTACAAATATATTGATTAATGACGATGATCAGTTAAAAGTATGTAAAATCGAATAAAAACGAAGTTGTTCTCTCTTTTTCTAATTATTCGTTGTTTGAATCAGTGTAGTTCATGAAACTCCATTATCTTGTCCGCCTAAAATCAGATATTCACACCCTTTTTCATTCTAATATATAAAAACAATGATATATTGACGTTTTGAGAGGCTATTTCATTTATGATTTTATCCATATTCAGCTTGTCATTTCTATGTATTGAATTAAAATTCAGACATGCTGCACACTCGTTTGTAACGATGTGTAATAATAATGGCAACATAAAATTAGTTTACAGGATACAAGTCATTCATCGACCGTATAACTTTCTGCAACGATGATTATGGTAAAAACATGCAGTTCATTTGAATTCATAACATCCTAAGGACAATATATCGTATCCTCATTTAAATAATACTTACTTGCAAAAAGAATCCGGGTACAAAAAATAAGGAAATTAGAATTCAGATGGTGTTTACATAATATTCCAGTTTAAATATCGACTTCAAAATAAGCAAAGAGGAAAAATCACAAACACATGGCTGAATTGAAGCTATGTCACAATAGTTTAAACAAAATGGTCGCAAATGTCAAAATTAGCTCACGTCATGCATAACAATTAAAGTAATTAATAATTTTAATTAACTCAACATACATGATAAATAAGACTGCAAGACTTTTATAAACAGAATGAAGTTTATCTATGCATAATTTTTATGTTCTCGCTGTAGCTACATTGACACGTACATTTGTTTTTAACATGTGCGTATTCTAATTCTTTTCAAATTTCATTTCTGCAAAAATTGTGGTTTTGTAATGAATATTTAAGTTAATTGTTGACATGAACTCATGATAAATTCATTAATAAGAATGCAAATGTGTATATTGCTTCATATCATCATATTTTAAAATGGTTTTAGTGATAGCTATACATGATCTCTTACTGTGTTTTGTATTTCCATGTAAATTAAATGTTAAAAGTTCTTAACTTGGTAGAAATGTTGAAATTTTTAAATTACATCAAATAAATTATTAGTTTAGTTAAACAAAAAATAAAAATAGAAACGACATTTGTTTGTCTTCACAGAAATTAATTAGAGTTTTAGAAAATCAAAATTTCTGTATTTTCGAACCAACAAATGGTGCAGTGGTGAAAAGTAAAATCACAAAAATACTGAACTCCGAGGAAAATTCAAAAAGGAAAGTCCCCAATCAAATGGCAAAATCAAAACAACAAACACATCAAACGAATGGATAACAACTGTCATATTCCTGACTTGGTACAGGCATTTTCTTATGTAGAAAATGGTGGATTGAACCTGGTTTTATAGCTAGCTAAACCTCTCACTTGTATGACAGTCGCATCAAATTCCATTATATTGACAACGATGCGTGAACAAAACAAACAGACACAATAGGTAAAAATGTCAAAAATAGGGGTACAGCAGTCAACATTGTGTTATCATCTTAATCACTATAAAAAAGAACAAATGTAACGAAGAAGCACAAAAAAGCATACATCAAATTTAACATCCTCATTTTGCTTATATTATACGATTTTATTTATCTATGTAAAATCCACCCATAAAGGATGGAAGGTTTTAAGTACTGGCGTAAAATCGCGCGTTTAAAATTCGCACAGGTAGACATAAAATAATTTTGTTGTTCAAAGTATGACGGACTTTCCTAACTGGCTTTTTTTTTTTTTTTTGTTGTTGGTAGTTTTGATAGATTAATACAAGGATTCATTTGAGGTACATCTGGGCAAACGCTTCTAACTTAGTATAATACACATGTTCAATTCCAGACACTCATCATCCATCCTACTACAACCTTTGTAAATGAAAAAAAAACAAGTAAAATTGATAAAACTGACATCATCAAGATGCTGTTGTTTTCAAAACATATTAATCTTGTTTGGTGGACGTGTTTTTTTTTTGTTTTGTTTTTTTTTTGTTGTTCACCAGACAGTTATCATTCCTATTGGACCAAACTGTGCTACTCTTCTTGCCGATTTGTTCCCTTTATTCGCATGATGCAGATTTCATACAAAGCTTCTCTCCGAAATAATGAAAAGAATTTACCACTATATAAATGACATCCTTTCACTGAATAATTTAAAAGTTGTAGACTATGTTGATTGTTGTTGATAAATCCAATTGAACTAGAAATAAAGCACAGCGTGAATACAGTCGGGTCTATTTCATAACTTGACTTATATCTATAAATATACATTGAGGGTCGATTGATAACTTTACTCTATTACAAAAGAGATTATTTCGATTTTTCTATTGTGAACTTTCCATTTATATGTAGCAACCTTCTAGCATCCCCTGTGTATGAAGCATATTTCTCCTAGTTGATACTTTATTTCAGGGATGACGTTTCTACCCTGATTTCCTTAATAGAGGTTTTTTGCTTACAAATTATTTAATGACCAAACGTTTGTAGATTTTAAAGATGAAGTTATCTCTTCAAAAGATTTACGGAAGCCATCATGATTTGATTTAAAGTTGTAGAAGTTAATGTGTTAATGATGACCACGGGTATTTTCAATCATATCCACTTTTCCTCTATAATGACTTCACCGAATACGATATATTATCCGATGTTTACTGTCCTGCCCATCACAACAGTTACCACTATAGTAATAGAATCCGCTTAACATTTCTGAATACCTGCGTTCACCTCCAGTTTTTGTTGAGGTTCATGTTGTTCAATCTTGTTTTCTTTCGTCATAATTCATTCCGTATTTTCTAACATATAAATTTTACTGCACAATTTTGTTACACTTGTACTTTATTCACCTGGTTGAATTGACGACATTACTCCTGTAAATAATTAGTAGTACTGTGTACAGTCTTATGAAGTTCTTCCTCTTTTCATCATTTATTACATGACTGAATTAGACTAATCATTGAATAAGTCATGAGCAAAACGACAGTAAAAGAAACAAGAATTGCTTATCCCCTCAGGCAGCTAAATTACGCCTATTTATATGGTGGGTTTTATGCTGCTCTATTTTAAGTTTCAGTGTAGTGTTTAAGGGGTCTGTTGTTTATCTGTTCGTCTTTTTCCTTTGGTCGTGGTGTTTTTCGTCTTATGTTGTTTGATTGCCCTTTCGTATCTTTACCCTATTTTCTTGAAAACAAATTTCTGTTAAAAGGGCATTCTTTCTTTATCCATTGTAATACCTTTCACTTGATGGCAAAACTTTAAAGGACTGGTAAAACTAGTAATTTTAAAGCAGTAAAAATGCTTCTCAGTTTAATATTCATTATTTTATCATAAGCAAGAACTTTCATTTATTCCTGCAAAATTTGGCCACAAATAGCCGCTGCAAAGTACATAGTTTGACGTAGAAGAAGACAATCTAATATAAGTATAATCATTTATTTTTCATTGTAGCCAGCCGTTTCGAAATTTGATGAAAAAATTAAAGCCCATTTATTGGTTAAGGAAAATCAGAATCAAGTAAGAAATCAAACGAACTCTTTAATGAACAGGCAACCACATGACATCATGACTGTTTGTACAATATGTCAAGCTCTAAATGAATAGGAAGTTTAAAAAAGTACATTGTTATAACTGTATACATTCATTAGTTTAAATGGTTTTCCTTAATTTTTAAATGATTTAAGAATAGCAATTTTTAAGTACACCAACCCTTTGCTATCAAGATTTTCAACCACTAGAGAGTATGAGAGATCTTTATCCAGGTGGATAGAAAATTCAAACTTTCAGATTTGTTAGCCAAAGGGTCGACATATCGATTCCACAGCCAATGAACTGGACGAGCACTTTGATCAATTCAGACTGAATTGACAAATGTATGCAAAAATCATAATTATGAATGCTACACTAAAGAACTTGGAGTTTCGCAGCAAATCTTGGAACCCGACACATACTCCTTCATCATTCACACAAAGAGGAGATTTAGACAATCACAAATTCGTCCTTCACTCCTTTTGGTATTAAAATTAAAAAGAGGACGATAAAAAAAATCCTTCTTTATACCTGATACCTTAACTTCACAAAAGAGCAATATATAGCTTGGTCGTCTAGATATTCGACTAACCATATTTCTAAAGTGTTAACTACCATTCTTTCTTCAGTAATAGATGACCTTCCAAAATATTGTAATGAGGTATATTGAACCAGTTGTGGCAATCAGATGTTAATTGTTTAAGCATTCTAAAACTCTGCCTCTAAATCTTCAATCTCAATGTTTACGATATACAATTTTATCAAATAATATCAAAACGCTTGATTTTTCTGCACTCTACACTGTTATGTCCCATGCTGAAATATTGACTACATCGTTCCATAAAACAAAGCTTTTTTTTAAATCTGAATTGTAGAATTACATTTCTTGTTTTAGGTCATTAAATTTTTTTTACAAAGAACCACACTGATTTCAACAACACATACACAGAAGATGACATCATAAAAAGCTGGACTTTTGAGGACAACATATCTGTTGAGTTTGGTGGATTGGTATTTAAACAGGATTTGATATTCAAATAGGTAATTTTTTTCTTAAAATGTCTTGTACCAAGTCAGGAAAATGGCCATTGTTATATTATAGTTCGTTTGTGTGTGTGTTACATTTTAATGTTGTGTTTCTGTTGTGTCGTAGTTCTCCTCTTATATTTGATGTGTTTCCCTCAGTTTTAGTTTGTAACTCGGATTTGTTTTTTTCTCAATCGATTTATGAATTTCGAACAGCGGTATACTACTGTTGCCTTTATTTAATAATTGTGAACTTCTAATGTCCGGCTTGTTTTGTACTCACATTTTAGCAAAATTCATACAAAATATACTCAATTACTAAAAAAGGCTTCTGGCAAAGTTCCTTGATTTTACTTTCAGATATATTGAGCGTGTCCTGTAACTCAATAGCCCATTTTCAGTCAGTGCTTGCAACTCATTTGTCCCAATTAACTTGAAATTATGGACACTTTCAAAAATAGACGGTCTGCTTCATATATTTATCCTTTTCTTTGGATATTGAGATAGGTGAACGAATTCTATGACCAACGTGATGAGTTCAACTTTCAAATTATCAACATAACCTTTGCCTCATCATATGGCGTATGATATCCAAATGAAATGTTTATATGTAACACTCGTGCATGTTCACACTATACGAACTTCATTAACAGGGTTGTGCTGCTGACACAAAAGCTGCTACAAGAAGGTTATGAGATTAAACGATTAAAATCGGCACTACTAATTCATGAATCTGTTTACCGATACGATATATAATGTCTCAACTTACTGGCGACATGTTTTCTCGATCTTTTAATACCAGAATGGTCGTCTGATCTGTAAACTGACCGATTGTGTCCACTTCCCATTGTGATATTTTGACTGAGTATGGATTTTAATGGCGGGTAATGCATAGCAGGATATGCTGACCTTGTCAACATACATGGTTTCGCTCCTTTTTGAGTTGATAACATTCCGTCAGTTTTAGTTTTTGTTATCTTCTAATTTGATTTATGCGATTTGAACATTGACAAACTACTATTGTCTCTTAAATTATCTCAAAGACCTCTCTCAATCCCCTATATATATTATCCCAAAGACCTCTCTCAAT